AATGAACCAACTCATTATTTTTAAAAATAGTAAGTGGAGAAAAAGAAGTGAACATTTATCCTGCCTTTCCTATGCAAACCGTACCACTGGGTAAACAGATAGTAGATAAGAAGAAATTTCTCTTTGTAGAAGTTTCCCAGATAATGAATGAAGAAGAAATGAAGGTAAAATATCACCACTTTTTAACTCCTAATGAATCAATAGATCTAGGCATTGAGCTTCAAAACGCTGCTATCATCACAAAAAAGAGAGACACCCAGACATCATGTGCCCCCCTGATGGAAGAACACAATACAATCTCTGAAGCAGACTTCCCAAAATCATGAACTGAAATCTGATTAAGCCTCTGGACTCAACTGCCGATTTGCAAACATACAGATGACAGAATAACATGTTAAACTGCACTGTGGAGACACAATTGACTAAATCCAGACTGAACTCTCTATAAGACAAACCACCTGTTTTCTTGCACAATAACAACAAAATCAGGAGAAGTAAAAAGGAATAACCTATGGAGTAAACGAGGCTCATAAGACATATCAACTAATTATAACACATACACTTTATATGGATTTTAAATAATCACCCTATGAACACAAACACACACACACACACAGCCCAGAGATTCTCACAGAGGACAGACAGGGATCTTAAACCTTATGAGGAACCCCCTCCCCCCACTCCATGGGGAGAGTGGAGATGAACTGATAACCTCTGAAGGAGTAACAGCAATACAAGCCAGAAGATAGTCCTGAAACCAAACAATTACCAAGCCTAGAATCCTATAGTCAGCAAAATTTCCTACAAGAATGAAATCAAAAGAAAAATTCACCCCAAAATGGAAATGGTCTAAATGTTTCAGTTAAAAGACAACTATTTTAAAAAAAGATAATTATTGAGTAGTTAAAAAAAATAAAACCCAACTATATGCTGTTTATAAGACTAACATTGAAAATGAAAATACAGAGAAGTTTAATCTAAAAAGATGGTAGGGATCCTAGGCTTATCATGGGGATCACTTCATAATATATGAAAATATCAAATCACTATGCTATACATCTGAAATTAATAGGATATTGTATGTTGATTATACTGCATTTAAAAACAAAATGATAAAAAAGACACATCTAAACAATAACTGAAAGAAGACACTATATATATATTAATATCAGACAAAATATACTTTAAGGCAAAGCATTATTAGATATAAAAATAATAGATTTGAGGCAGAAAGAAAGTAGAAGGAAATAATCAAGATAAAAGCACAATCAACAAAATATCCAAAAGAAAAGAACAACTTAACCCGAAGTTGGTTCTTAGAAAAGACAAAGGAAATCAAACTTCAGGGGAGACTAAGACAAAAATGAAGAATGCACTGATAAATAATAGGAAGATAAAAAAGAATCACTAAATATGATTCAGTCTTCAAATAGGTAAGATTTTATTGCAAACAACTTTGCAATAAATATGAAGATTTTATGAAATGGGTAAATTCTTAGAAAAAGTATAACTTACCGAAACTGACACAAGAAAAAACAGTAGATTTAACAATCATTTACCATTAAATAAATTGAATCAAATAAGTATCATCCACAAAAAGCAACGGTAACAACAATGGAAAAAACCCTGCAGCACCATGTCTCCATAGACAAGATCTGCTAAATATTCAAGGAAGAAATAATTCTAAGCTTAAACAAATTCTGAAGAACAGAAAGAGTTGACAGAAATCCAACTCATTTTATGAGAGCAATAAAACCATGACAGTAAACAAGGAAGGAAAATTACTGCCGCTATCACTTATAAACCCAGATGCAAAAATCCCAATACGTATGAAAATTAAATCTAGAAATCTAGAAATATGTAAGAGTAATAAATTATGACCAGTTGGGCTTATACAAGGAAAAATGTGTTTAAAATTAGAAATAAATCTATGTGTTTCAACATATTAAAAGAAGAAAATCATAATCATAATCATCTCAATAGATGGAGAATTTTTCTAATAAAACTCAGTATCAATGTGATTTGTTTTCACTTAGCAAACCAGAAATAGAAAGGAAATCAATTAATCTGGCACTAGCTACAAAAGAACCGCTCAGCAAACTTATTTTTTCTTTAATTATTAAGTAATCTCTACCAACACGGGGATGGAACTTACAACCCCAAGATGGAGAGCTGCACACTCTACCATCTGAGCCAGCCAGGTGCCCCAAACTTCTAAAATCCAGGTCCTTCTGAATTCAAACCCCATTCATTTGGCCACATTTTAATGCTTTCTTTTCAAATAAGCCCAAGAAGTTGAATATGGCTGGAAAGTAGCACATGAGAGAAAGAACATTCTTTGAGACAATGGTCATTAGATAATGAAGGTCAGATCATGAAGGGTCTTAAATGCCATGCTAAAGAGGTTGTTTGTGTGTTTTCCTGAAAACAGTGAGGTGACACTGAAGGTGAAAGGTTGGCATAAGCAGTAGAATGACCAAATAAAGCTTCTTTCAAAGAATCGTTCTGGCTGCAGCATAAATTTAGAAAGGGTAAAACTTAAAGCTGGGAGATGAGTTTTCAAGAGAGAGAACAAGGGGTTGCAAGTTCCAGACCTGTAGGAGCCAGACATGAGTGAAATGGGCCAGTTCTAAGACAACAGGAGAGGTGAGAACTGTAGAAAATGAAAAGCACATGTCACTATAAAATCCCACAATTCAGCTCCCGTCAATTGTTTTCATGCAAGAATATTGCCCAGGATTGCTAGATCTTCCACACACACACAACCAAATATGGGCCAAATCTGGTACAAAAGTCATCAGTTTGCAACTTGTGGCTCAAAATAAGGTAAAGTCGATAGAGAAGAAGAAAGAAAACAAACTCAAAGGATATTATGAAGGAAGAATTGTGATAGTTATCAATCAGGTGAGGGCAGAAGAGAGGGATAAAAATGGATGACTTCCAGATCTCCAGTCTGGTCACTGGGTGGACGGTTTGTCATTCACTAAGCCATGACACACAGGTAGATGAGGTTTAAGGGACATTCAGATAGCTAATCAGCAGAAGCAATATAAGACTGGGAAAACAGAAGCCATCTTACGTGCCTCAGTTCTTCCCCCACCACCACTCCCATTGCTACATCTTCAGCTCAGCTGTACCAGTGATACCTGGGCAAGTGATGAAACAAGCAAAATCAAAGTCACATCTGGAAGTAAGCAGACTGAGAAAAGTTGGGTAGATATACCCATCAAATAGAACCATACATGGTGAGCTAACAGTGAGGCAGAGTGGTATTATCTGATGATGCCAGGATGGGGACAGTGCTGGTGACCTAGGGTTACAACCAAAGTGGCCGATCATCGCAGGCTGTGAGATTGGGGCAGCTGAGCCTGTTGCAGACCTCAAAGTGTTAGGAAAATAAAAGTAACAGGGAATCCAGGAAATACTCTCTCCACTTAGAGGAAGCTAGATTTCAAAGATTGAGACTATGACCTCACCCATTACACGCCATCCCTGGTTGCTGGAATCTGAAAGCATTAACCTATCTTTATCCCAAACACATACTGGTCACAAGACTTCCTGGATAAATTCTGCCATTTAGGACAATATGGATGTACCTTGAAGGCATATGGTAAGTAAAATAAGCCAGACAAATACTGTATAATCCCACCTACCCATGGAATCTAAAAAAAACAAATTCATAGAAACAGAGCAGATTGGTGATTGCTACAGACAGGAATGGGGGTGGTGGAAATGGGTGATGGTGGTCAAGGGTGAAAACTTGCAGTTACATGATGAATACATTCTGGAGAATTACAGGCTGGGAAAAAAAAGTTAAAAAGCTAAATGGGTAAGTGGGAGAGCCAAAGAGGTTTCTTAAAAGGAGTCCTCTTTCACCTGCAGCACAGAAGCACTCACAGTTGAGTGGCAGGCTGAGGACTTCATGAGTTGAATTCCAGAAAAGCCTAAACACTCCAAGTGGTACTGTTACGCTAAGCTCAGGAGCCTGACTGGAAAAACCTGGAACCCTAACGTATGGTATTAAGACATCTGGATGGAAGCTCCCAAGAATACTGGCTTTGCAGACTTCCACGAACCAAATCATGTTCACAGAAGTGGCCTATCACTCCCTATCAAGAGCGAACACCTCCCCAGTGCAGAAGACTCTCTTAAAGAGGGCCATTCTTGGGGCACCTGGGTGGCTCAGTGGTTAAAGCCTCTGCCTTTGGCTTGGGTCATGATCCCAGGGTCCTGGGATCGAGCCCCACATCAGCTCTCTACTCAGCAGGGAGCCTGCTTGCCTTCCTGTCTCTGCCTACTTGCAATCTCTGTCAAATAAATAAAATCTTTTTAAAAAGCGGGGGGCGGGGGACATTCTCATAAAACATGTCCTCTTCTTCCCACAAAGCTGCCTCCACCTCATTTCTTTTCTGCCAGGCCAAAAAGCAGGGTTAAATCCCAGCAGGATCCAGCTGGTAATGCACTGGGCCTGATAAGGGAGTAAAGAAATTGTACCTCAAAGAACTATAAGAACTAGCTAGCAGGTATTGGTAGAAGGCAGGGGAATACCTCTGGACTTGGATTTTGAAAGTGCCTAATCAAGAGGACCAGAACATAAAATTGTAAGAAGTCACTGGCTTGGAAGCATATTTTAGGTACTCATAATTTAACACCTTGGCCAGGAGCCCAGGGAACGGGGGTAAACTAGCTGCAGGGGTGCCTTTCAGAAACCTGGAAAAAAATGATGGCAAACACTCAGCAATGTGAAAATGCTGCCGTTGCCCTAGCAAAGGAATCAAAAGGTGCAAAGAGAATATGCCAGAATGGGTCCGTTATGAGACCCAGAGGACATTCCCATTCACCAAAGCCATCAGGTAGAAGGGCTCCAATGTCACCAAGTTCAATGAGCCTTCTGCAGGCCAGGATGGAGCATGGTAACAGCCAAGAAGATCACAGGGCTACTAAATAGTAGAAGTCAGCGGGGCAGCACTTTAACAAAGGTCCAGGGACAATTACAGGCACACGCTTTACTGTGCTTCACTTTATTGCACTTCGCAGATGCCGCATTCTTTTACAAACTGAAGGTTTGTGGAAACCCCGCAACGACCAAATGTACTGGCACCATTTTCCCAAAAGCATTTGCTCACTTTGTGTCTGTGTCACATTTGTAAATCTTGCACGATTTCATTATTATATGTTATGATAATCTATGATAAGTGATTACCACTTGCTGAAAGCTCAGATGGTTAGCACTGTTTAGCTATATTTTTTAACTAAGTTATGACTTTTTAAAGACATAACGCTATTACACACTTAGTAGATTACAGTACAGTGTAACTTTTACATGTGCTAGAAAACCAGAAAATTCACCTGACGTGCTTTATCAAGGTATCTGTTTTGACTACAGTGGTCTGGAACCTAACCTACGTATCTCCAAGGCATGCCTGTAACAGACAACTTCTAGCATAGGTAACTCAGTCCTAAGTGAACTTTTATTTTAATCCTATCTTTAGATTCATCATCAAAATGATCTTGACAGTTTACACCTATCTCTGCTCCAGCATCAGGCTTAACTTCAATACAAGTTTTTTACATACATTCCTAGCTCTAGAGAATTTGGGGATGATAATCAGACATTAATTGGGAGAAAAGAAATGCAAATGGGAGTAGGTGGCACAAAGAGCAGAATGAAAAGAGGAAGATTTCTAAAACTGGTAGGCTTTAATAAGGAAGTTCCACCCGTTTCCATTTACTTCTTACAGGTTTTTATCTTACCTTCCAAACCAAACCAAGCTCCTGAAAATGTATTTTACTTCTTGGGATGGAAGTTAACCTGTCCTGTTTTTCCCTTTCCCATCAGATACAACTCCCTAAGGACCCAAAAAATATATATACACATTCAAATACAAAGAAAACATGCATTCAATTGTTTTACATTTTCATAACATTTTAACATTTAATAGAAACTATATACAATAATTTTTATTATATTTTACATAAGATAGCCACTACAGAAATTTACATAGGTTAGAAGCAAGATGGATGATTAAAGAGGGCCCAGTCCTGTGGGCTATTCTCAGAGATGATAGGTTAGAGTTCAGTGGAGGAAGGAGGGGTTCAGATTACCAATCAGGTAAGAAGTGAAGAAAGGCTAAAACACAGGCCATTAGATAGAGATAATCAGACACTGGGTTCCATTAATAACCCAAAGGTACACACATCTCCTACCTAAACACCTATGCGTATTTGTGCCTGGACCTGGGAATTCCCATTACAAAGATGTCTCTCCCTTAGGCACAATCCCAAATACTCTCAGTCCCAGCAGCTCTGACAGGAATCACCTATCTCTCTCTTCCCTGCGCAGAGTGGGAAGACACTCTTGGTCCCCCCACAACAAATCCGGTTTATGTTTGACTACAGCACTCAATAACCCAGAGGAAAAACGCCATAGTCGGAGGTGTCCTTCAGCGAGAGACAGTCATAAATACTTGTTTAAAAGAATGGAAAATTCAAATCCACCAAAGTCAGATAAATGGTTTCCCAAACAAATCATCAACTGATAGAAGAGGGCTCTGGCTTCCCATTTGTAGTAGCCACTCCGCTCTGAGGCAGTGGTGCAGAGGCTTTCTCAGAATTTCGAGACCCCTGTGATCTGCACCCATCTCCAGCCATCTGCATCTGGCCCTGTTAAAAGGAAGTCACTTTGGTTACAAATCCATTCATTATGGTCTGAAACATGAATGTGACTTATCAAGATCATGACAGCAGAAATACAGTAACTGAGAGGTTGCTCTTCCCCATACTGTACTATCTCTGATCCTTGGAGTCAGCAGCCATGACAGGTAGCATTCCTGAGGCCCTCCCAATGGGAGGGAGAGCTATGGGTTGTTTCTTCCAATGAAACAGCCATTCTCTGCTGAGGTTCCAGAACAGCCAGGAGATCACAGGAAGACAGTCCTTTGGGCCTCTGCTTGAAACAAACAGCTATAGTACAACTGCTAGTCTTCAGTCAGGGCCACCCGTACCCCACCCAAGGCTCAAAGAAAGAAGCTGAATCATATGACTTGTCCTTATGCTACGATGAAAATAATTCCAGTGCTGAACTCTCCCTTTAAAAAGAACCACTTATGATTTATGTAGATTCCTTGTCTTAACCTCTTCTAGTTAACTAAAGAAACACGCATTCTGCTCTCTGAAATTCTGGGACTAGTGGTGTTCTCTTTAAGGGCCCATTTATAGAACTGCCATCTGGGGCCCCTATACAGTCTACTTGTGATGACAACCCCACACTGGGAGTACATGCTAGCCATAGCCAGCAGGGAGACCTGTGCCTGGATGGGGTTGTCCTTCACTTGCCAGAATATCCACCGGGCCTTCGGCAATTTCTTTGACTGAATGATCTTCAAGGGTTAGTGAAGGATCAAAAAGTAAGGGTGAAGGAGGGCACTGCATACCATCACCCACAACATCCAAGTCCTAGGAAAAGAAAGAGAAAAAGCCTATCAGTAAAACCAAGGGAACCAGTAAGCTGAAGCTGGCATATTTTTCAATAAACCTCAAAGCAATTTTCCTGTATTTCTCTCACCCCCTTGCCTACCTTTAACCAAAAAAAAGATTTTTCCCAGAATGTCCAACAAATGGGATAAGATCCGAAAGCGCTAAAAACTTTTGCTTGCTGCTGAGTATAAAGCAGAGACCACTGTACTAGCTTTAAAAAAAAAAAAAAAAAAGGTATTTTCAAATAGAAAAATTCAGACACAAAAATGTAGAATAGTAGCTACCAAGGGCTGGAGGGAGAGAGGAAGCAGGAGTTATAGTTCAATGGGCACAGAGTCTTGAAGATGATAGAAAAATTCTAGAGATGCACAATGGTGACAGCGGCTTGATACTGTGAATGTACATAACACCACGAATTGTACACGTAAAAATGGTTAACAGTAAATTTCATGTTATAAACATTTTACCAAAAAATTTTATTTTAAAAAAGTGTATTCCTTCTAAGACTAACTGTAGTCACCATCTAAGTTCACCAGTGGTGAACCTAATATGGACAATCAGCATAATCACAAACTAGAATAAAATACTGCTTTCAAAGATTGGACAATATGCAAGGTGGCTGGCTGACTGACTCTGTTGGTAGAGCATGCAACTCCTGATCTCAGGGTTCTAAGTTCAAGCCCCATGATGAGCACAGAGCTTACTAAAAAAAAGAAAGGCTGGACAATATGAGATTGCTTGATTAATGCCCTACAGTCACAGTGAGCTAAGTACTATTTGGATGAAGTCCCTATCCCCTCCCAGAAATCCCTAATTCTTAAACAAAACATACTTCAATTGCTCTTTTAAGAGGGGGGAGGGGGGAGTCACCTGGGTGGCTCAGTTGGTTAAGCATTTGCCCTCTGCGCAGGTCACGATCTTGAGATACTGATGTCCTGGGAAGGAGCCCCATGTCAGGCTCCCTGCTCCGTGGGGAGTCTGCTTCTCTGTCTGCCCCTCCCCCCCCTACATTCTTGCTCTCCCCTCTCTCTCCTCTGCCTCTCTCAAATAAATAAAAGCTTTTTTAAAAAAGAGGAAAAATAAAAAAGGAAAGAAAATCATATTCCATAATCTATGTTCTTCCAATTGAAGGAGCCATTCCCACTGGGATGCTGAATGGCTACCAGACCACAGAAACACAGTACTCTTGGCTCCTGTTTGAAACCAACAGCTACAGCAAACCACTGGTCTTGATTCAGGGCCAAAAGCATCACAAAGCCACAATGTGTCAAACTAACTTTCATGCTACCAAGAGTCTACTGCAAAACTCCCTTCCCAAAAGTGATTTACAAAAGGGTTTCTACTCCCCTATGCCCAATCCACTTTATAGAGGCTGTTTCCAGTAATCTAGCTTTACAACAGACTTAGATCTATGCTTTTAAATTAAGTCTAAGCAAGTGAAACCCTTTCTTTGGTGTGCTAATTACCAAATTAAGTATCACACTTCACTACAATTAAGGTAAAGAATATTAATTTTAAAATGTACGACACTTAAGCCTGCTCAATTTAAGCAGAAATTCAGAAAAGGGTATGGTCAGCTACCTAAGATCTATTTCAGATGTGTTAGAAACTATTTATTTTTCCATTCAGTCATCCATTTATGAGAGTGCTGAGTAGGGGGGAGGGGCAGACGGAGAGACTCTTCAAGCAGACTCTCACAACCCATGAGATCATGACCTGAGCCAAAACCAAGAGTCCCACACTAAACTGACAGAGCCAGCCAGGTGCCCCTAGAAACTTCTGTACTATCCACAGAAACCAGTATTCTCATGTGGTTAAGCCTGTAAAATGTTCTCTTCAATTCTTTTACTTGCACAATTATTATACATATAATTAACTTGGCATTTGAAAGAACCAATTTAGGGACACCTGGGTGGCCTGGGATGGAGCCCCCAGTTGGCCTCCTTGCTCAGCAGGGTGCCTGCTGCTCCCCCTGCCTGTGTGCGCTCTTGCACTCTCTCTCTGGCAAATGAAAAAATAAATGAATAAATGAAAATAAAAGAACCCACGAGGCATGAAGTTTCCCAAGTCTCAAGATGACAATGGTATGGAAATGTTTTGTAAAGAAAATAGATATTCAAAAGGCTTTTCTCACATGTTCATTTTGTCTGTTATAAGAATTAAAATTGGGGAGGGGCACCTGGGTGACTCAGTGGGTTGAAGCCTCTGCCTCTGACTCAGGTCATGATCTCAGGGTCCTGGGATCAAGCCCCATATTGGGCTCTCTTCTTAGCAGCGAGCCTGCTTCCTCCTCTCTCTCTGCCTGCCTCTCTGCCTACTTGGGATCTGTCTAATAAATAAACAGGAAAAAAATCTTAAAAAAGAAAAAAATTAAAATTGGGGAAAGGAACCTCAAACAAGAAGAGTGGATCAGCAGAAATGCCTATCACAACAGGAATATTTAGAAACAGAAGTCCATCAGGACATAAAAACAGAATCCACATTTTGTTCTGATCTCAAAAATCACACACAAAAAGTAAGAGGATTATGGTATTAGGTTGTTGCCAAACATCCTTGGATCAAAGCACAGTAAACAGGCAAGTATAATATCCAGAAGGAAAGACTGAATTTTAACCTGTATTATTATCTAATACCTGGTCCTCCCATAAGTAAAATTATCAGAAGTTATTAGCAAGTTCTAGAAATGACATCTAAGGCAGAATATAGGTTACAAACTAAGATTGGTTGGTTAAATTCATACAATTAAGAAATCATTTTTTCCCTCAGGAAAATTGTATATTAATAAATATATCCAGTACAGGAGGACAAAATTTCTAAAACTGGATTTTGTTTCAACATTTTCCAGAGAATTTTTACCTCCAAAGATTAAGAATAAAACTATACTTATAATGACCAATATGATTTATCAAAAGTGTATTAATATGAACATAGCAGATGATAAAGTACAAATGATTATCATTTTTTAGAAGATTTTATTTATTTATTTGACAGAGAGAGAGAGATCACAAGTAGGCAGAGAGGCAGGCAGAGGGAGAGGGGGAAGCAGGCTCCCCGCTGAGCAGGGAGCCGGATGCAGGGCTCAATCCCAGGACCCTGAGATCATGACCTGAGTCAAAGGCAGAAGCTTAACCCACTAAGCCACCCAGGCGCCCCAAATGATTATCATTTTAAACCTCTAACATCAAAGGTCCATCTTAAAAACCCACTGGAATCTGAAAAGTAAGGTTACTTCTCACATTCTTTTGGGAAAAAAAAAAATCCGAACAATATGAATAAACAGATTTGATGATGTTTTTAAATATTTTTAAAGATGTTATTTATCTGAGAGAGAGAGAGAGAGAGAGAGAGCATGCATATGCACACACACACACAAGCAGGAGGAGGAGCAGAGAGAGAAGGAAAGCCAAAGAGACTCCCGGTTGAGCGCAGAACCCTGAAGTGAGGCTGGATCCCAGGACAGAGATCATAACCTGAGCCGAAACCAAGAGTCAGACCCTTAACTGACTGAACCACTAGGCGCCGCTAAATATTTTTAAAATTAAGATCCCTTAAATGTCAGTTTCATATACATATAATCACAAATCTTATAATCTCTAAGATTTTGTGTAAAAATTCTCCAAAGAGCAATACTAATACGGCAAGAACAGGTGAAAGGGGAAAAGCAAAAAGGTCAAAACAGAAATGGCTCTAAAAAATTATCAGATGAGGGGTGCCTGGGTGGCTCAGTGGGTTAAATCCTCTGCCTTCGGCTCAGGTCATGATCTCAGGGTCCTGGGATCGAGCCCCGCATGGGGCTCTCTGCTCAGCAGGGAGCCTGCTTCCCTTTCTCTCTCTCTGCCTGCCTCTCTGCCTGCTTGTAATCTCTGTCAAATAAATAAAATCTTAAAAAAAAAAATTATCAGATGAAATAAAAGCTACTATCCTAATATGTCTACATGAAATACATGTGCTAGTTTCTATATATTTACATTATTATCTGAAAGGAATGTAGTGATATAGTGCTTATTAGGTTAATTTTCAGACCTTATAAATTTGCTCATGTTACTAAGTTTAAAAAAAAAAAAAAAAAGATAGTGCCTCTGCACTTTCTTCACATTTAAAATGAAGGGAAGTGGACAAAACTGTCCTTATCAACAAAGGGCTATTTGTTCATTTACGCTCTTCAACATAATCTCACTGGAAAAACTTGGGAAGCACTGAAGTATATAAAGGTCCCTTACTAGTTTTCATATTCTATGAAATCTGTGTTAAAGAAATTTTTTTAAAAAGCAATTATAATCAGGACTATAATAAAAATGATAACTTTATTATAAATGAAATAATGAAAAAAAGTTTAATAAGCCTATAGATCATATGTAACCAAAAGGGAGAAAGGGAATCATGAAAAAAAAATTAGACCCAGTTTCTTCTTAGTATCACCTTTCTTTCTCAGATAGTACCCTGTCCTTTTATATCATTTTAAATAAGCAATACCCTTGAAGCCACCCAAACTTTGCTTCTACCATTAGTAAATAATCTTGCAAACTATATTAAATTTTCCATTTATATTTGTTGCATTAAACACGTCATGGTTATACACAAAACTTTATTATGAAATTCAGACTTATCTTCAGAACAAATAATGAAGACCTTTATCCAGAACACTACATATTAACTAAAGTGCTAAGACAAAGATGCTCTATCAACTGATCCCTGAGTCTGGCAGTAGGATAGTGCTAACTATGGGAACAAATAAAATCAGATGGGTTAATGGGTTGGGACCAATTGAGGAACAAGCTTAAAAAAAGTAGTGTACACACTTAGAAGGCTGTAAATACTTAAAAAGAGATCACTGTTGTTCTAGTCCATTCACAACAGAATCTACAATAACACATCAAAAATAAAAGCCAGCAGCCAGAGCTAGGTTTAGAGTCATTTCCTCGGGGGCGTATTAACCTGAAAATGAAACTTTACTACTACAGAGCAAACACACAGCTTAAAACCGTCAAGAGTAGATATGAGAATTCATATGTACTATTAAGATTCTAATGAATCACTCACCTTGTGGATGGGTACCAAGTTTCCTGGCTATACTAAATCCAAAACAATCTTGACTTTCCAGCTTCCCATAGTTGACAATTTAATTCCTTATCATTCCCTCAGATAAAGAAAATCTCCTGCCAACTTAACGGTCCCTAAATTAATATGCTAACATACAAACACAAGCATACATGTAGCATTTCAAAAACTTTATCAAGTCTCCTGGCCACAAAAGACGAACCTAGTCTCACCATTAATAAATAAGGCCTTGCCTCAAGGGCCAACGCGAGCAGAGCTTCTCTAACTTACATCACTGAACTCCAGAGGTAAACTCTCAGTGGGCTGAAGCTCGGCAGCACTCAAGTACAGATCCATGGGGCCGGCTTCCAGATCGTCTGGCACAGACAGTACCTGCTCGGGCTTATACATCTGAGGAGGCAACTGGAAATGCAGTGGGCAGCAGGGATCCTCAGAGAGGCTTACAGGAACTGGTTTGTTGCAGGGTACCTCTTCAGACCCCTGGCAGCATTTGAAGAGAACCTGATTCGTGTCCTGACAAATATCTGTAGAAAAATGGTCAAGGGAAATAAAATGGATCTACTAGAGGCACAAAATACAAGTGTTGTCTGCCATGTAAAATTCAAGGTCTGCACTACAGAAGACAACTGGTTACATGTGAAACAGAATCAAAGACAGTTAGCAATTTTTTCAAAGTTCTTCTCAAAGTGTCATTCACCAGCATGCAATTCTAGCTCTACCGGTAATTTAAATCTAGTCCCCAAATTACACTTCTGGATCCCAGTCATTTAAACTAGAGACACTAATCTTGTCCTCACTTGGGAGAGTCAAACACAAAACATTTGACAACACTGCTAAGCAAACCTCATTAACAATCCTAGGAATCTCTATCTATTCCTACGAAACATTCTATGGCAAAGGCAAATAGCTTGCAGAAACGCTACCAAGGCCTCCCAAGAATCAAGAGGTATGGTGTTTCTGCTCTGTTAAGCACACACAATCAAAAAAAAATTGCAAAAACTTCTTGAATCTTGTTTCCAAATGTTTACATATGTTTAAAGCAGCAGGGAACTGGGGAAAATAGAAGCTCTAGTAATAGACACAAAATAAAAGTAAGTTTCCATGCCCCCTTGCTTTTTGGGGGGATAGGGATGCTAGTGCAGGGGAGAGTTCTGCCATGGTTCCAAAGAGAAAGGAAAGAAGATAATTTTGCTTATGAGGACCCATGGAAAGCAAGTACCCCAGGAACACTCCAGAAGGACTAACAACTTCTACAGAAAAGAACAAGTTTCCGAGTTGGCAAAGCAGCTCTGTAGGATGAATCAAAATTAAACTGATTAGATAAACAATAAAATTTAGTTCAAGTTACTCTCTGTGAAATGTTTTATTCAAGTGATAGCTATTTCTTGAAATCTTAACTACATGGTTTCCCCCTAGATTTACAGACAACTGTTATTTCAAATGTGGGCTTATTTTTAAACGAGAAGCCACAATTTTCTATGAACTAATTATACCCAGGATTATAGAATTATGGGTAAATTTTCCTCCCAAATTTTAAGGTAATATCTAAAAATTAAGAAGTCTAGCATGTATTTTATTTTTAAACCAAATGAAACTTCTTGAATAAAGCCATTTGTTTCAATCAATTCTTAGAAACTGCTAAACTCGTAAGATAGGGTTTCACATCCGTAATCCTACTGACATCACTGGCTGGCCTGTGCATTGTAGGATGCTTAGCAGCATTCCTGGCCTCTACCCACTAGATGTCAGTAGCACTCTCATCCCTAAATTGTAAAAAGCAAAACTGTCTCCACACATCACCAAGTGGGGATAAAATGGTCCCCAGTTGAGAACCACTTCTCTAAAGGAATAGTAAACAGTACAAAGTAAACAATACTTATCAAATGAAAATGAACAATCAAATGAACAAATACACGAATCTAACAGGAAAAACCAGATTTGCATTCTCTATGTGCTTAAGAAAACCTAGTCTCCAATGTGCTTAAAAAGTCCAATCGTATTAAATGATTAACACTTAAAATCAATCCATTATATTAAATGTTTTAATCAGAACTTTTTTCATGGAATTCAAAGAACTTTCACAAGTCTTTTATTTAATACAATATCCTGGAAAAACCCTCCCCCATCCTCCTCCACCCCCTTTCCTTTCCAATGGGGACAAGAGAGACAAAGAGAAGGGAATGGTTGACCTACAACTAGAGTCTGGGTCCTTCACTTTCAGTCCAGTGCTGTCTCCATTAGACCAGTGTAAAGAGTTAACAGGTCACCAATGGCAGTCGCATCTTTCTCTGGGATAAGGACTTAAGGAAGGGTAAGTGACTTAAGCAACTATGGAGTAGAAAGGAAAAAAGCATAAAACAAAAGAAATCATACTTCCCTTCTCCTTTCAAACACATTTCATTTTCAACTTTGCTTTTTAAAATATTAATAACCTAATAAACCATTTGAGTTTAATATTTTAAGTCTAAAATATTCCTCAATATCTGTAAACTGAGTTTTTCTGATTTATAAAGTAATTCACGCTCACTGAAGAAAACCTGGAAAGTACAAGGCAGAGGAATAAAAGGCATTCATAACCCCACCAACAAAAAACAGTCAATTTCTGTTAATTCCCCTCCCAGTATTTGATTATATGTAATTTCATATCCTATTTTTGTCACAATCATTTTCCTAGGTCATTCATAAATTTTGTTAAATCTAATGCTTATTGCCTAAACATATTCCACATAATGTTACATCATAATTTTCTTCTCTATACCCCATTTCTGAAAATTTAAAGGCTGTCTCCAGTTGAAGGAATTTTATGTAAAAATATCGGTCTACATTATATCCTTAAGATAAATTCCAAGGTAACATTATATCAAACAATATGAATACCAGGAGCGTCTGGGTGGCTCAGTGGGTTAAAGCCTCTGCCTTTGGCTCAGGTCATGATCCCAGGGTCCTGGGATCAAGTCCCACGTCGTGCTCTCTGCTCAGCGGGGAGCCTGCTTCCTCCTCTCTCTGCCTGCCTCTCTGCCTACTT